GACCTTGATTATTTCCATGTAGGAACTTTATACGTGGTAACCATGACCTTCATGTTTCTTGAAGTGGAATAGAAAACATATTATTAAATATTTTTCCAAGTTCTGTAGAGTCATTTGCAAAATTCGGTCAAGCTCCCCTTATATTTTGGCTAGATCAGTCTCAGTATTTTGCACACATATTTAGAATTTTACGTTATAAATTACAGAAAATCACTATAGAAATTCAAGGGGAGAATAAAATGAAAACGATCGAATAGAAATTCTAAATGTGAATTAATTAAGTGTGCAAGTACCAAGTAGTTAGCCAAAAAAGATGCGAATTCTAGAAGCTTCGTTAGAGATAAAAATAAARTGAACCTTCGTAATAAGGATAACATTGTCACAACTTGTCTAACCTTTGCTGGTCCCGATCCTTCACGATATAACCTGTTATAAGCAGTATGACGCACAGCATTTCGACATTTCATCTTGGCCGTGTAGCATAAGATAACCTCTTGCGGGGGAGATACGTCAGCGGTTGCGTAATCCAGTAATCCACTTCTAAGGAAATCAAAATCATCTTATATCCTAAGGTGAAAATATCCATTCCAAAGGTGCGTAGAATGGAAACATGAATACTTAATACACGCGTACTTTCTTCTTAGATTCAGATGAATGTAGATTGTCTATTTGCTCGCAAGGATGTATCAATACTCCAGGGAGTTTCGAATGCTCCTGTAAGTACGGTTACGCACTCGATCCAGACATGAAAACCTGTAAACTAGGTGAGTACTATGGGATGGATACATTTATATGTGTGGGCTACGCCAAGGACATCTGAAGCACAGGGAGCCCAATTTAGGTAAAAGTGTTATGCGAAAGTAGAATCCGGATGAGATGAACTTTTTGTATTTGAGGCCGCCAAAAAAAGTTTGCTAAACAACGGGAAATGAGTAAATCAAGCAAATATACTTTACGTGCTTTTCTTTCTCGCGCGCCTTTGTCATCCTTAGATTTTCCCATTATTTTGAATTATTTAGCTTTCTATAACCTAATCTCGACTAATACTTGCATAATTGTACCACAGCTATCCCAATGTGCACCGGGGTGCTATCCTCCCTCGTTGGGAAATTCACATCACCACACATTCCTTCCTGGTTCCAAGGCACCGTMGACTGTGAGTGGACGATACGAGTGCGTCAGCGGTATACCATAGGAATGAACTTGAAATTATCGTGGTCACGTGATCAGAAGTGTCGGAATTACATAAAGATTTTTATTAACGARGGTTCGGGCATGCGCACATTGAAGCTGTGCGGTCAGCAGGATGTTGATGGGCTTCTCCACTTCAAAGCAGACGAACTGAGGGTTCACTATCATATTGAGGTTGGTCTACTTACTTATTCGAATTTAGTTTCAAAGCTAGGCTTTTCGATTTACCCCCTTTCTATTCTGTCCTGAAAAAGAATGCATAAGCATAAAAGTCTGGATATAGATGACCCAGACTGAAATATGACTCAAATACTTTGAGATGGTAAAATAATTATGCATTTTCAAGTTTTGTTTCACAAGGCAATAAGAAAATTGAAACCAAAAAAAAAAAAAAAGAGTTTTGCGCGCTTGACCGATGGGACATTAGTTCAAGTTTTTCATGTTTAGAAGATGTATGAGATGCACATACATTGACGAGCGTCCACCATTTTCCTGAAAAGTCCAAATCCTTTTCCCCGTTAGTTTAAAAGTTATAACATAGGATTCACCATATTGATCATATTTTTTAATGTAATATTATGAACTTTTAGGCACCATATCCAGAGGGGTTTTCTCTGAGTTATCACATGCGACCCAAGAAAGATCAGCTCTGTGGAGGCACCTTTTATGGTCTCAAAGGAACATTACAGTCACCTCGATATCCTTCACCTTATCCAAGCCGTTCCAATTGTCTGTGGAAGATCCAAGGACGACAAGGAAAGAAAGTTTTCCTGTCATTTGAAATGTTTGATTTAGAGAATGATAGACAGTGTAAATATGATTATTTAGATATACAAATGAAATATAATTCCACTACGAAAATGCGCCCCATTGGACGGTTCTGTGGTACAATGAAACCCCCTTTGATAGGCGCTCGTGGAGGGGAATTGTGGGTTAAATTTRTATCAGATGGTACTGTACAAAGACGAGGTTTTATAGCGAAGTATTACTACAACTAACTGGTTTTACCTAAGAAAAARACTGTAATGCATAATTTAAAGCTTACTAAGCATACCACCCTATTTTAACTTAAAATTAAAACAAATAATTATAAAACTACGTATCTTATTTTACTCACCCAAATGCCTAGCTGCTGATCAAGACAACCAAATTCCGAGATGTTTTTAGCCTTTGGGCTACCTGTGGATATTTTACCACAGCTAACCCAATTACAACGTGTCTGCGGCGCGGGGGTTCTAAATTGCCACGTTTTAAGAGTGAAAAGATCAAGTTCAAATCCGGTTCTCTATTGTTTCAAAACACCTAAATGCCCATTAAATTTTTTACACAAGAAAGCGGTATGAATCATTAACGAATTTCCTTTGTTTTGAAGCAGGTTGTCATCAACCATTTTTGTCAGTTTCGGATCTCAATGATRCATTACTTGTCACACACCCCTTTAACTTTTTATATAGTTCAAGTATGTCGAACTTAAAAGCTTAACTTTTTTCATACTTCCTCGTTAATTACATTTTTTTCTTTGGGATATGTAGATAGTCTTGTAAACAAAATCTCACATCCTATTTTACATAACCCTCAATATTAAAGTACCTGTTTTCTAGAGTCAAATTTTGTAACAATGACCCTCATGGTGATGTAAGAGTCCAGCATTATTATTATATATAAAACACAACACAGGTTTATYTTTAAGATTCTGATTTTATTTGCTTCAATGTCTGAAGACTTTAATTGTTCATGTCCAGTTGATTTATGCTGCCTCTTCTTCTCCTTCTTCCTCCTCGTCAAACTCTCCYTCCTCTTCAGCAGTAGCATCCTGGTACTGTTGGTATTCAGACACCAAATCGTTCATGTTGGACTCAGCCTATGGGTAGATAAAAAAGATTTAATATTTAACATTTTAACTCTGTGGGGGTCCGAAGGTTTGGTAGAAATGGAAGAAGGGGGGGGAGAGAGGGAAGGGATATAGTGAAGTTATGAAGAGCAGGGATTGAAGACTCACCTCAGTGAACTCCATCTCGTCCATACCCTCACCAGTATACCAATGAAGGAAAGCCTTTCGCCTGAACATAGCAGTRAACTGCTCGCTAATTCTCTTGAAGAGTTCTTGGATGGCAGTGCTGTTSCCGATGAAGGTAGCAGCCATCTTAAGTCCACGAGGTGGGATGTCACAGACTGCAGTCTTGACRTTGTTGGGGATCCATTCAACGAAGTAAGAGCTGTTCTTGTTCTGTACGTTCAACATCTGYTCATCRACCTCCTTCATGGACATGCGGCCACGGAACATAGCAGCAACTGTCAGGTAACGACCATGTCTTGGATCACATGCAGCCATCATGTTCTTGGCATCAAACATCTGTTGTGTCAGTTCTGGGACGGTAAGGGCACGGTACTGTTGGGATCCACGGCTTGTCAGAGGAGCAAAGCCAGGCATAAAGAAGTGAAGACGTGGGAATGGTACCATATTGACAGCAAGTTTTCTCAGATCAGCATTCAGCTGTCGAAAAAATACACAAACGTCAGATTTAAAGAACAGCAATAAACTTATATTTAACCTGTTTTTAATATTCAAGAATTTTTTTTATATTTAATATAATATATTGGACCATTTTGAAAAATATTTTTTTGCCTTTCGATTCTTCAGACTTCTCGTCTGCCTTCTTGAAAACCATTCTTCATAAACCCATTAATCATATGTGTACGAAGTATAGTCTACAGAAACACTATTATTATTCAGCAGCTGCTTTTGTAATACTTAAATCCAAGCTAGACTAACACATTGCGCTTGCATACTTAATTTTGGGCTGCGCCCAGCAAACWAAACGCCGGAAAAAAACCGCAAAGAAAATCCTACTTTCTTCAAGTTTTAAGTTCTAATTTCTTACCTGTCCAGGGAATCGAAGACATGTCGTTACACCACTCATGGTAGCAGAGACAAGATGGTTAAGATCTCCRTAGGTTGGAGTGGTAAGTTTTAGGGTTCGGAAACAAATGTCGTAAAGAGCTTCATTATCGATGCAGTATGTCTCGTCRGTGTTTTCTACAAGTTGGTGGACGGAGAGGGTTGCGTTGTATGGTTCGACTACRGTATCTGATACTTTAGGTGATGGTACGACGCTGAATGTGTTCATAATACGATCGGGATACTCTTCACGGATCTTTGAGATCAGAAGTGTTCCCATTCCTGAGCCAGTTCCTCCACCAAGAGAGTGTGTGAGCTGAAATCCYTGTAGACAATCGCAGCTCTCAGCTTCTTTGCGTACGACATCGAGAACAGAATCGACTAAYTCTGCACCTTCGGTATAATGTCCTTTAGCCCAGTTATTTCCAGCACCACTTTGTCCTGGAATAATACATTGTTTACACATCAGACCCCAAACCTTCACGAAGAATCAAATCTAAAAGATGTACTTAATTATTTATGCACGCTATAAGTGAAGAATCGAATGTTGAGTTCAACTTACCGAAAACGAAGTTATCTGGTCTAAAAATCTGTCCAAAAGGTCCTGATCGAACAGAATCCATTGTTCCGGGCTCCAAATCTACTAATACAGCTCTTGGAACATATTTACCGCCTAGAAAAAGAGAACGTCGACGTTTAAATGTTGCGAAATGAYATCGAAGATTTTAAATGTGAAAGGCCATTGTCAAGTTCACGAGAGAATCTTTTCCTTACCGGTTGCTTCGTTATAGTAAACGTTAATTCTCTCCAACTGGAGATCTGAATCGCCATGGTATGTACCAGTGGGATCAATACCGTGTTCATCGGAGATAACTTCCCAAAACTGAARAAAAACGAAGGAAGAATCGTTTAAACTTGAGCTAATGCTCGCACACGCCTTCACCGACTTCCCGCCCTTACTTCTTGGCCATTTGCAAGCTAAAAAATACGAGCAATTTCTTTCAAAATTCGCCTACCTTGGCTCCAATCTGGTTACCACACTGTCCTGCTTGAAGATGTACAATTTCTCTCATTTTTACGCGTTAAATTAGACTCTCTTGAAAGACGTACTTTAGAGCTCTTTCCCGTACTCGGTTACTTGTAAACTGCCGATATTTGGCGCTCGAATGTTGTAATAAACGGACCGTTGCTAACGTCATAATTTGCACGTGTGAATTCAAATTACGACATCTGATTGGATAAATGGCTGTCAATCAAAATCATGAGACAAATTCCACGCCCCTTTGGGATTGGTTCATTCGGGGGTAATCCTATTGGGATTTATTTGAACACCGCAATGGATTCCTAATAATCTTTTGTTTTTAATCAATATTTTGGTYGTATTCTCTTTAAAATTCGCAGCCATGGCTGAAACATTAAGTCATTTTGATTTCCTTTCCTCGGATAGTGAAAATTTTCTTAAAATTAATRCATTAAAACTATCTATAAAAAGAACTCGTCACGAAAGGACATTGTGACCGGTATTTTCAACATGAACCGGCTTTTCTTGTCTGAATTTTTTTCTTGCCACGTTTCCTTGACAACGTGTTGTATACAATTAAATTTGCACGTACTCAGCTAGTAAGACACAAAAAAATATTTTTTCCAACGTGAAAATTATAGTAAATAAAGATATATAAAAACTTTAAATATGTTTGCATTTTCTTTACTAGCTATTTACATCGTAAATCGATACATTATCTAATTTTTCTCCCAAAAATTTCTAATCTAGCTTCGCTCTCGATCGTTTTTTGGAATTATTTTATGATTGCATACGAATCAATGATATTCATCGTTTATTTAGTTTCTTTGGTAACCATAGGGTCAAGACAGTTTCCACCATTGCAATAAAACTAATTTTCAATCGATTTTGAAATCGTAGCAACCAATTTAATTAATCATAGTTTTTGATAGTCTCTTCTTTACTTTGCAGGTCCACAAGACAGACCTGCTACATATTTACAAACAAATAAAACTCAAAAATTATATACTGAGAACGCTACTTGAAGTTCATTCAGCTTTATGCCTTGAGGTCGCTTCATGCAAGATTATAAATGTAAATTATAAGTGGTAAAATAATGCGGTTTTCGTGATGAAGAGGACGCCGGAAACGCTTTCAGCTGATAGCATTTTACCCCAAGGCCAGTCAGTGTCTAGGAGATTTTAAGTTTAATATGCAACTGCCAAAGGCAACTACTGACAGAAAAAATACATATCTACAGCAAAACTCGCGTTATTTGAATATTTTTTATTAGGGGCGAGGTGAGCAACAAATGCTCTTTGTTTGAAGCTTGAAAAAATACAAATGGCTATCCTTGTAGTCAAAACAAACCGCATATACAATAGTAAATAGTGGATCTTAACGATGGGTGTCTTAGATATTGTCCTTTTTTAACCTTTATATCTGCATGTTATATTGATTTGGCTGAGTTACAGATTGGACGTATTGAGGATTAAGGTCACACAGCTTCAGGTCCAAAATTTGACAGCCTGAGATCCTTAYAACATACCTCAGTGTTTGTTTATTATGCTTAAATAAGCTACTAATGACATCATCTATTTAAAGCATCAATTCATCATGGAAAAATTCACGACCACAAACTTTTAGCATGAAATCTCTGCGTAAATAAAATAATCAGATTYATTTAAAAAGCCCTTTAAAAATGAGCTAATATACTTTGAGACTGTTTTCAGCAATAGGAAAATGCCCCACCCGAATAGCTGAAAGCCTGCTTACTCTAACACTGAAATGTTGACAGCTATAAAAATATAAATATGCCTTAAAATTAACAGAATTGCCTATTTGTTTGAGAAAAAAAACTTTTATTAAGAAAGATACATAATTGAATGATTTATTTTAAATTGTTTTCTTGGGTGTGTGAGGGTGGGATTTCAACCTTGATTCATATCTTGAATATCAGGACTTCTCTAATTATTTTTAGACGTTTGATGATTTTTTTAAAGTACATTGCAGACTCTCTTGGGTTAGGTTTCTAGTAGCCTGYGTGCAGCCAGATTTTTTTCTTGTATAGTCCAGTTAGTTAGTTCGACTGCACGCAGGCTAGTTTCTAGTAATATGAACACTTTATCCATTAAAACCTCTGTAGATGTTCCAGGTGTATGGGGTAAACCAGTGTAATTGAGGTGTGGAATAATGGACATTGGGAGACTATARGACTGGAATGCCGTCAGAGCAGGAAAGGCATCATGTTGCTGACTACAAGCGTTTGATACCATAATTGCCTCCTCATTCCCTTGTTGATGTTCCAGATGTTCAAAACATAAAGGGTAATCCTGGGTTGAACGAAATCTGAAGAAAGGACTTGAGGAGACTACAGGAATGTTGTCAGTACTGGAAATGCATTCTGTTTGCTGACTACAAGCTTCTGATGCTGATGGGATATGTAGCCTTTGATGTAGCCCTAAAAATCATGATCAAACAAAAACAAAATCAACAAAAATAGGAATAAGTTTAGCTAGAGAAATTCAAAGCAGCACCTCATCTCAAAAACAAGAGTTGTTTATAATGCTCTACCCTGTTTATAGACGGAACTGATGTTAGACATACAACAGCTATGCTCCAGGAAGTCCCACAAAGAAAGTTCTAGAATAAGCTCTCCAATCCCTCATATTTTTCTCTCCAATGGAAATTTATATCAGCCTCTATGCCTCTATTGCTAGAGGTCATGCAATTTTTATTATAATTATTAAAAACAAAAAACAAAAAAGCAAAAGAAAAAAAAATTCCAAAGTAATATTATACTCTGGAAAATTTGATATCAAACACTGAGGTTAAATAGACCTTTCTAGAATTAATTAAATTATGACAACAAAACAAGGTTGTTTCAATATGTACAAATCAATGCAAATCAATCTTCACTTGGGACTATTGTTTGAACTTGGTTTCAAACTGGAAAARATTTTATAAAACAAGGAAGTTCTAAATTTTTGCAATGGATTAGTCGGACTTCAGCTAGACGAAGTATTTATGTAGAAAATTAGCTAAAWTTTTTATATAAATTGAAAAAAATTATTTGTAGCAATTTTGAAACAGGTCAAACGCATAAGAAAACAGCTGATTTAAAAGAAATGGAATGTTTGGTTTTGCCTTTTAAAGATTTTGAAACAATGCCAAAACAAACATTCCTTAGTTGTGTAGATATATTATATGCATAATTGGTGGTGATCATTTCAGTGGCTYGGATGACCACATAAAATGACAGTCTCTTCTCATTAACAAACTCAGTGGGTTACAAGTTYATCTGCTGTGACTGTCAACTGTCATCRTCTTGAAACAAAGTTGCTTTAATTAAAATTTACCTATATGTTTTATGTGTCACTTTTATACACACCAAGTGACATAGACAAAAAAATTGTAAGAGTGAGAAATGTATTTAAGTACCATGAATTTGAAATGATTCTGAGCCAATCAGCATGTGAGATGTACAGCCAKCTCACTATGTTTAATTTGACAGACATCTTGCAAATAAATAAAATAAAGAAAGAAAATTGGATTTAACAGTGGCATTCCTAATCCATTGAATTCCAAAATTGGAAGTTGATTTTTGAATGCAAGTTGATTTTTGCTGAAAAACCCTCGAAGTACAGGAGAGA